GTATATTTGATTTGTATTAATGTTTATACTACAATTTTAACTCTCTTTTATGGTAAGATTGGAATATTGTTGGTTCTTAGACAGCATCTAGTTTGTCTTTGACACTATTATTATTGCTGATTTTACTGTTACTGCCAAGATGGCATAATTGTTGCTATTAATTGGTTTTCTTTGAATGGCAATATGTGACTTGCCTTTGTATTGTTAACAATATTGTGACCTGTTCCTGGAGAACTGGGTACTCCCTCCCAAATAAGTGGAGGTGGCTGGATTTTGGGATAGAGGTAAAAGCTAGTGGTTATCCACACCCATATGTACCACCAAAAAGTAGACACTAAGAGGTCTCCATACTAGCAACAAAGTCTTATGCTATAATCAACCTGCAAACCTCAGACAGACATGCGCTCCCTCCCTCCATCTTTCTTCTTCTCCCTCTCTCTCTATCTCCCTAGAAACATGCGAAGATAAGAAAACAAAATGCCTTCCAGAACTTCCAACTCCCCAAAAGCTGATCCATAGGGCACTGAGGGAGAAGAAATCAAAATATACACAGTGGAATTATTTGAAAAGATAACAGAGGAGTTCTTTTAAAAATCAATAAGGTCCTCAGAAAGTTCAAAGAAGATATAAATAAACAGATAATGGACTGAATAAACAAAAAAACCCAAACAGTTTGTAAAAGACCAAAAGACTAATAAAAAGCTAGCTGAGCTAAACAAAATGACACAAAACATGAATGACCAAACTTAGCAAAGAATTAGAGTGCAAATAGAAATTCAGAGATAAAAAATTATATTGAAAGTATGTATCCTTGGGGCTGGGGATTTAGCTCAGAGGCAAAGCGCCTGCCTGGCAAGCGCAAGGTCGTGAGTTCGGTTCCCGGTACCGGAGAAAAAACAAAAAACAAACAAACAAAAAAAAAAAAGAAAGTGTGTATCCTATTTTCAGACAAAATAGACTTCAAGCCAAAACTTATCAGAGGTAGCAAAGAAAAACATTTCAACAGAAAGAGATAGCAATTATAAACATCTATGCAACGAACACCAACACACCCAACTTGATAAAACAAACACTATTAGACATAAAAGATCAGATAAATATCAAGAGTTGCAGAGGAGGACCTCAATATTCCACTGTCACAAATAGACAGATCAACTAGATAAAAATCAACAAGGAAATAAAAGAGTTATCAAACATTTGAGCAAGTGGATTTAATAGATATCTACAGAGTGTTCTGCCCAACAACAGCAGAATACAAATTCTTCTCAACAGGAATTTTCTCCAAAATAGACCAAATACTAGCCTATAAAGAATCCTTTATAGACTAGTAAATGCAAAAGAATTGAAATTATCCCATGCACAGTATCCAATCACAGTAAATCAAACTAGAAATCAATGGCAAAAGCAACCACAGAAATTATGCAAACAGAGGGAAATTAATAAATACACTCTTGAATAATCAGTGAGTCCCAGAAGAACTCAGGATGGAAATTAGATGATTCCTAGAATCAAACAATGCCAGTATAACATACTACAACTTATGGAACACAATGAAAGCAGTCCTAAGAGGGACATTTATAGCTGTTAATGCTCACATCACAAAAACAGAGTAATTCTAATAAATAACCTAATAATGCACCCAAAGCCATAGAAAAACAAAGAAATCCAAACCCAAAGCTAGCAGAGGAAGACAATTATAAAGATCAGAACAGAAGTTAATGAAATTGACACTAAAAAACAATATAAAGAACAATGAACCAAAGAAGAGGTTCTTCAAAAGCAGAAACAAAATAGACAAATCTTCAGCCCATCTAACCCAAAAAAGAGAGAAGAGACCCAAATCAATGAGACTGGAAATGAAAAAGGTGAAATCACAATGCCTACTGCCGAAATCCAGATTATTAGCAACTATGTTGAAAACACGTACTCCAATAAATTGAAAAATTCAGAAGAACTGCATAGATTCCTAGATACATGGATTCACTGCTGAATTCTACAAGAAATTCAGGAAAGATCTAACATCAATATTCCTCAAACTCTTACATAAAGTTGAGAGAAAAGGAGTCCTAAGTTCATTCCTGGAGGCTAGCATTACCCTAATTCAAAAACCAGACAGGGATCCAACCAAATACGAAAAGTACAGGCCAACCTCTTTAATGAACCTAAATGCAAAAACCCTGTACAAGATAATGGCGACCAATCATCAAAAAGATCATAAATAAAAGGGATGTGAACAGGAAAAGAAGTCAAATTATCATTATCTGCAGACATTCTTCAGAATTCTTTAGAAGACCTGAAGAATTCCACCAAAAGACACTTCAAACTAATAACCAAATTCAGCAGTATATCAGTTATAAAATCAACACACAAAAATCAACAGCATTTCTGCACACTATTAATGAATTCAGTGAGAAAGAAATTAGAAAAACACTAACATTTGCAATAGCATCAGGAAAAAAATAAATACTAAGAATTAACCAAACCAAGGAGCTAGATGACCTCTACAACAAAGAGTACCATACTCTGGAAAAGGACATCAGAAAATGGAAAGTATTTCCTGTTACTTGATTGCCCCAACCAATATTATCAAATGGTCATACTTATAAAGCTGATATACAGATTTAACCCAATCCTAATCAAAATACTGAGAGCTTTCCTCACAGAACTAGAGGAAACAAGCCTAAAATTCATATGGAACTAGAAAAGACCCAGGGCAGGACTGTCCAGGAGAAGAACAACCCTAATGAGGCCATCCAAGAAGAGTCTTCCGTGCAGGACCTTGCTGCAGCCTGGGTAGGGATGGCCCAGCCTCAGAACCTGCCTCTGCCTCTCTTTCCTCCAGGCCATGCATAAGGTGGTGCTGACCACGGACTAGAGAGGACAGAGGCCACTGGAGCCATGGATTTGGAGGACAGCACCCCCCACCCCTGCCATCAGGTTCTACAGGCCTTTCCTCCTCATGTACAGGCCTCCTCTACAGGCCTGAAGAGGAGGAAAGGCCTCCTCTTCATCCGGCAGGAAAACATCAACTTCCCCATCTTGATGAGGAACGATGGATCCCACAGAGTAGTAATTGTCCTCAAGTTTCAGTTCCTCTCCAGGCCAGGGCCCTTTCCTGGATGGTGTTAAGTGCAGGCTCAACTGGCCACCACCTGCATGTGACCTGCCAGTTCCTTGCCCTGTGTCTGAGGCTCCCTTTGCAACCTGAGCTTATAAGAGGACCAGGTCACAGCACTTTGCAGTGTCCCTGCACCCATATGCAGGGGGTCCTGTGTTGTGCAGCCTGTGTTGGGAAGGCCGCTGTGGCTGAGACCTCATCCCACGGGCCCTGGGCCCCTCTGCCCCTGAAACTTCCAGTCCCGCTGGGGACATTAGAGGTCATGGAACTCAGGCGCCAACTGGGGCCCCAGATCCACTAAGCAGCCCCATGTGAGAATAGTAACTTGAATATTTTGTGGGCCATAGAAAAATCAGTGCTATACTTAGATGAAAACTTTTAACTTCAAATGCATTTATTTGGAAAATGGAAATGTTAAAATATAAGGAAGCTAAACCTTTATCTCAAGAAAAATAGAAAAATAACAATAGATCAACACACAAAGAATTTTGAAAGTTAGTTGAGAAAAGATCAAAAACGGAAATCAAGAACATATTTTAAAAACCAGCAACAAACTAAAACCTGAGTCTTTGAAGAAAATCAATTAGCTATACAAATCCCACGAATAAGGCTTTCTAAGGGGAGAAAAGAAATAAAATATGTAAATAAAAAATAGAACCAGAACAAAAGATTTACTGGTATAAAATAATTTTAAAATAATAATGATGGGCATTTAAGAATACATGTTGAGTATTTAATCCAAAAACCTAGATGAAATAAATTCTTAGATATAAATTTAAAATGTGGCTTAAGGAATAGCAAATTGGAAAAGATCAATGTTAACCAAACAAGAGTGCTTGGAAACAGCAGGTTTGGCTGTGACGGCCACTTTTCTCTTTTCCCACAGAAATAGCTTTCCTGACCGGAAATAATGTACTGTCACCCCAAAGAGCACAGGACTCTGGTTCAGCATTCACAACCCCCCATCCTTCTGGACACTGTGATCAATCCAAAGGTGGGCAACCATGCCCAGGGTCCTTTGGAGGATAGTCATGAACACAGAAAAGAGAATTTTTCTCCTGCTATTAAAAAACAATTAGAACCAAATAACCCAAACTGCAGCAATCACATTTGTTCCCAGTGTAGACAGAGTAGTAAAGCAGAAGATAGAAGGTAGCTGAATAAAGAAAGGAAGAGATTGAGTGATGGATTTGGGATCCCTGGATCCAGCCATGCCTGAAGCCCTTTCTATTTTTTAGGATTCTTATTCAAGAGAAACCCAATAAATATTCCTCTTTAGTTTAAAATAGAGTTCAGTGTTTGTCTCCTGCAACCCAAAGAGAAAGGATGAATAAAAAAAAGTAAAGAAAGTGCCAGATTTTAGAGTCCAGAGTCTTAGATTTGAATCTCAAAGGCAGCTTCCTCAACCTCCCTGTGCCTCAGTTTCCTTATCTGAAGTGTGGTGGTGATAAAGATGGCTCATCAGACTGCTGTGAAGATTGAATGAGATGATCTACAGGAAGCACCTGGCTGGTACAGTCCCTCAGCTGTCCCTCCTACCCGACGGAGAAGATCCTGAGGGCAGGAAGGGAGTGATTCACCTCCACTGGAGCTCGGAATGTGGCTTTTGCAATTGTCTGGCACTGGGGAGTTCTCTGTCCACTGCCGTGGGGCGACCACAAACACTGATACAATTTCAGCCTTATTTTTATATCAAATAATAAGACCTTGAATACTGATGATAACAATAAACTTGAATACTGATGACAGCCAATTTGTGGTATTGCTGTGTTTACTCAAATTTTCTAGAAAACCTCCCATTGGCCAATGGCTAGGGGTGGGGACCACCGCATCATGAAGGCCACTGCCCCCCTCTAACCATTAACCAGCAGGGCAGCTTCCTGGCAAGATTTAGCGGGCAGCGTCCCCACTGGCTTACTGTACACGTGCTAGGATTCCAGACAGCACCAAGCCAGCTGAGCAACTCGAGCCTACTGCTAACAGTGAGTGACTGCCTGCGAACCCTGAGGCCCGCCTGCCCCTGTCCCTGCCGCTGTCCCTGCCCCTGATGCTGTCCCTGCCTCTGTGTCCTTCAGAACAGAACGATGGCTGCAGCTTTTGTGCTTGTTTGGGTTATTTTCCTGGGGCACTGACCATTAGGGCAGCCGACAGTCACACCAGGCTACCCTGGAGCGCTTCCCGGATCCCAGCCTCCAGGGGTCACTCTGGGGTGTGGATTTCCCCTTGCAGAGGCTGTGGCTGAGGGCTGTAGCTAAGTTCCATTCCCACCCAGTGTACCTGGCGCTCCTATGCCCAGCCCAGCAGCAGGTGCAGCTGCAGAGAGAGAGAGAGTGTGAGGGCTGGGATGGATCGGTGCCAGGCAGCATCCCAGTGGGGAGCACTAGCCTGGGAGGGTGTGCAGAGCTGGCACAGCACAGGGGCATCTTCCAACATCTCACGCACGCATCTGCCACAGCTGTCACTGAGTTACCTGGCAAGCATAGTGTAGATGGATACTGGCACTCTGCCTTTTTCAATGGAGCTGCTTTGCAATTCGATAGCTCTGGGTGGGAAGCCAGGCTCAGAAGTCAGACATCCGCTGGCCTGGGCTGCTGCCTGGGCTGCTCTGCCTCCTGGGCTCCCCCTTCTCATCTGTAAAGTGGGCCCCTATGCCACATGACAAGAAGTCATCAAAGGCAAGCATGCATGGCAGCCGTGATTGGTATTCACTGAAGTTTCGTGAGGTGGGGGAGATTTGATCTCCTGAGGGACAGCAGGAAGGGAAGGGAGGCCCATCCTGCCCCTGGCCTCAGGCCACGCAGGGTCCTTGTCCAGGTGGGGATCAGAGACACAGACTGGGGTGGCAGTGACCAGCACTGAAGCGGATTTCTCTGCGTGTGACTTAGGAGCAGAGACAGAGAGTAAGAGGAGGAAGGACTCCCTCAGTATGGTGACCAGGAACATGAGTCTCAAAGGCCAGGAGGGTGTGAGCCAGGCCAGGCGTAGGGGGATGTGTGTCGGTGGAGTGACACAGGGCTGGGCAGGAGCCGAGGCTCTGTCTCACAGCTCAGCAAACATCAGGGGACCGATTTGACCTGGCCTCCTTGACCTGCACAGGATAAAGTCTGATGTGAGCTAATGGAATCCTGCAGCTGGACCTTCAAGAGGCCAGTTCAAGGCTGGGGTCAGGACTGTCACCAAGGATTGGGTTATGAAGACACCAGGCCAACTCAGTGGGGATCAGTTGCACCCATCTCTGGGCAATAGGGAGCCCATGAAAGCTTTTCAGCAGGAATTTTAGAAAGATACAGCCAGCAGCAGAGGAGAAGGGGTTGGAGGGAGCTGAGCAGAAGGCGAAGATCAATCAGTGACCAGACAGCGGTAGCTGCTGAGCCCAGCGAGAGCAGCCAAGCCCCAAACTCGGCTGTGCGCTGGGACCAGAGGACAGGAGACAAACACCACAAAACAGACCAGCTGGCTTGGGGACTATTATCTCCACTGTTTTATGTGAAGAAACCGAGGCAGAGCAGAAACAACCTTTCCCATGTTACCTAGTGAATAAACAGCAGCGCTGGGATCTGAATCCGGCCTGGCCTGTCACATGACCCAGGAAAAGGAGAGAACTGCACTGAGGACTTAGCAATCAAGGTCAGAATTCAGATCTGGAGGAGAAGCCAGTAAAGCCCAGAAGCTGGGCGCTGGGGTGAGCAGCAAGCCACACTTGTATCTATCATCAAGTAGCAAAGTGGGGGTCTCAGATCAGCCAGCTCGCTTGTTTTTCCACCAGCAGAGTTAAGGACAGTCAGGCAGGGAGTGCTGGAAGAGGGCTCAGGGGTCTGGGGATGTTTGTACCTGTTCTCTTGAGGTTTGAGTTTTGGAACATCCCAGGCAAGAAACCCCTGGGGAGTTCCAGGAAGACAGATGGTTCCCACACTTGGAGTACACCACAGCTCCCCGCCCACCGGTTTAAATAAGGGTGGGTAGGGAGCGATTTATGAGAACAGGGTTATGTGAGTAAGAGGGACAGCAGTCCCGCTGAGGCCCTGAGAACAAGGGGAAGCCAGTTGTGTAACCCCAGTCTTAGTGCAAGCCCTGAGAATAGAAACGGGGCTGCTGGAATGAGTCTCAGAGTCCAAAGCCCCAAAACCCACGAGCTCCAAGGTCCAAGGGCAGAGCATGATGTCTCGGCCCACAGACAAACAGAATTTTCTCTTGCTCCACCCTTTTATTCTCTCTGCATCCTCCTCAGTGGATGAGGTGAACCTGCTCATGTTGGTGAAGTTGGCTTTTCTCTACACAGTCCACTGACTCACCTTAGTCTCCTCCAGAAATACTGTCACAGACACGCCCTGAAATAATGTTCTACTGGCTGCTATGGTCTGAATGTCTGCAGATATTTACAAAACTCATGTACTGATATCTCCATTGTGGTAGTACTATGCCGTGGAGTCTTGGGGAGGAGATTATTAAAGAGCCCGAGAGAGCTCCACTATGTAAGAGGACAGTGAGACAGTGCCTTCTAGAAAGCAAAAGAAGCTCTCAGCAGATATCAGATCTGTTGGTGTTTAATCTTGGATTTCCCAGCCTCTAGAACTGTTCTTTATAGATAACCCAGCCTATAGTATTTTTCTCATAGCAACCTGAATGGACTAAGACATCAGCTACCTGGGCTTCCCTGAACCCAATCAAATGAACCATCATGTCCCTTCTGCCAATCTTTGTCCTCTGTAGAATTTAATCCATTTACAGTAAAGGTAATTACTGATAAGGACAGGCTTACTTCCAACATTTTGCCATTTGTTTACTCTACATCATATGGCTTTTTAATTCTTCATTTCCCGTAGCCTTTACTATATCCTTTTTTATTTAGTTGATTTTTGAAGTAAAACATTTTAACTCTCACCCTCTTTTACACATATACTTTGGCTATTTTGTTGTAGTTGCCATGGGGATTATGGTTAACCCCCTAAAGTTCTCACACTCTAAATTTATTAATTTATTTAATTTTATTCTCTGTAGCTTTTTCCTTACTCTTGTTCAGTTATTGATGTCACAAATCATATCTTTATGCACATGTCCCTCCAAAATATAAATTAATAGTTAATAATTGCCAAAGCACTTAGCTTTACTAAAAATATTTGTTTACCTAACTTTCAGGGAATATCCAGTGTTTCTTCTTTTCAACCTGAAATGAAATGTATTTTAATTCTTTTAATTCTTTCTGGGCAGGTTTTGAGCTCTCTCTGCTTTATGTAGGGAAGTCTTAATTTCTTCCTCATTATTTTAAAAGAATGATTTCACCAAATATAAGATTCTTGATGGAAATTTTTATTCTGTTTTTCTTCCAGTATTTTGAATATATCAAAATGGATGCCCTCTATTTTGGCTGTTTCACCACTCTGAGCATCTTCTTGTGGGTGTCTAAAGTCGACGTGTATGTATTTTATGTTTTGGTGATGAATAGATGAGCAAAAATAAGCAAAATACCTTGATCAGTATTGAGCATCTAGAAGGCACTTGATCAATCGCAGGGCATAGAAGTCACATCTTCAGGTGAGGAAGCTGAAGCCCAGGGCCCCTCTGTGCCTTTCCTCAGGTCTCACAGCCAGTGTGGAGGAAGGAATCGGGGACACAGTGGGGTCTTCACCCGCTTCCGGTGGCACTGAGTCCCTCTGACTCAGACCGCCACCACATCCTCTAATACACATTCTTGACTCGGCAGGGCCTGGCCAACCTGACGATGCCACTTATCCTGTACACCTGCCTCCTCTGCCTGTGCACCAGTGGCCTCTGGGCCATCCAGGCTGAGGATTCCAGTGCTGTCTCAAGCACAGAGAGCCATCACCGAGGCCTGGCACCAACCAACGCAGACTTTGCCATCAGCCTGTATCAGCACCTGGTGGCCTCAGCTCCTGACGGGAACATCTTCATCTCCCCTGTAAGTATCTCCATGGCCTTGGCCATGCTGTCCCTCGGTACCTGTGGCCACACGCGGACCCAGCTTCTCCAGGCCCTGGGCTTCAACCTAACCATAATGTCAGAAACCAAGATCCACCAGGACTTCCAACACCTGCACCAGCTCCTCCAGGAGTCGGACACCAGCTTGGAAATGGCCATGGGCAACGCCTTGTTCCTCAGCCACAGCCTGCATCCTCAGGAGTCCTTCTTAGCAGACATCAAACGCTATTATGAGTCAGAGGCTTTTGCTGCAGATTTTCAGGACTGGGCCAGAGCCAGCGGACAGATCAATGAGTATATCAACAATAAGACACAGGGGAAACTTGTGGACATGTTCTCAGAACCGGATAGTCCAGCCATCCTTATCCTGATCAACTACATCTTCTTCAGAGGTACATACTCCCCACCCCATGCTGACAGGGCCGCATTACCACTGTCAAGAATAGCCACAGCTCTCATAATCTAGGGCAAGCTGTGGGTGACGCCTTTGATTTCACAAAGCACATTCACAGCTAGGAGTTTCCATCTTTACCACAGTTTTACTGGGAATTCTACAAAATTCAAAATGATACCTAGAACAGTCAAACGACTCACCTGGGTTCTGGGGGCTTGGTTTGAGGCCCGTGCATGTAACCACGGACAGACTGGCTGCTTTGTGGTCTACAAATACTGACTGAGTGCTGATGTGAAACAGGTTCTGGCTCAAGGGCCACACACCCAGCTTCGAACCAGACAGAGCCTCCCTCAGGGTCTCCCCAACACCCCAACAGCTGCCCTGCACATGCCGCTTCAGAGCCCATGGCCAGCTCTGACCCGGCCCACTTCCCCCAAATGCCAGCTCCCACCAGTGTGGAGCTAGGTTTTCCAAAGTGCTATTCCTAAAAATCTCCAGGGACACTTGTTCATACTACATATTCCAGAGCTCAGGCCAGACCTACTGAAGCAGAACCTCAGTCAGAAAGGCCTATGACGCATAGTTTTACCAAGAACTCCCTGTCTACCACCCTTAGATCATTTTTATAACCAGGTAAACTGGACACACATTACCTCTGAAAATAAAACTTATTTCCTTCCTCTTGTGCCATGGTTCTCAGCTGAGGGGGACCCCTGCCCTGAGGACATTAGGCAAGGCCTGGGGACATCTTGGTTGTAACAACTGGGATGGGATGGAGTGTGCTACTGACATCTGGTAAATAGAGGCCAGGGAGACGCTAAACATCCTATTCACAATGCGCAGGACATCACTTCCAAATGTCCAAGGTGACAAGGCTAGGAAGCCCTGGGCTAGGATCTTTTCACTCTTCTGTCTTCTCCAGCTTCTTATCTCAATGTTTTCTCTCCTCCATGTCACACACACACACACACACTCAACACACACAGATGTACATGCACACACATGCACAAGGACATGTGCACACACTCCAGTCACACCAAATTCTTCTCCTGCCCCAGACCACACCTATCTCCAGTGAAGCCTGTGTGCACCTCCTAATGCTGTCACAATGGATCACTGCTGATTGCATGGCTTAAAATAGCACAACTTGATTATCTGACAGTTCTGGAGGTTGAAAGTCCACAAGGAATCACAATGGGCTAAAATCAGCATTTGGGCCTGGCTGGTTCCTTCTGGAGGCTGTAGGAAAGAAGACATCTCCAGATCTTTTCCAGCTTCTAGAAGGTCTGCAATTCTTGACGCATAGTCTCTTCTGCCTTCAAAGCCAGCCGTTCCCAACATCACATCTCCTCTGATCCTGGCTCTCCTGCCCTTTGCTTCCACTCGTAAGGACCCAGGGTTTACACCGAGACACCTGGATCATCCCAGACGTGCTCCCATCCCACGACCAGCTGATTAGCAACTGTAATGCCATCTGCGACTTTATTGCCCCTTGACGTGTAACCCAGAACACTCAGAGGCTCTGCTGACTAGGATGAGGGAGTCCTTACTCTCCCTGGCTCAAACTCTATGCCTCTTTTGTCTCATGGGCACTCTCTCCATTTATCTGACTCCCTTTTCTTAACCTTCAGGTGCTAGTTCAAAAGTTGCCTGCTCTGGGAAGCCTGCTCTGATCCTTTCTTTGCTCTTCCTATGCAGTTTTTGCCCAGGCCTGGTTACAGCAATCCTCTTGTTATAATAAACATGTCACTGGGGCCCATGGGGCTCAGCTGCGGTGAGGCAGTCATATTCAAAGATACGCAGGAGAAACACCACAAGAAACAAGCAAAACCAGTAAGCACCATAGCGTGGTTCAGAGCGTAGTTTGAGGACCCTCAGATTATCACTTCTGTGACACTGACCGTGTTTATAGTCACAGAGCTTGGAGAGGTCGTTCGGGTTGGACCTGGTGGAGCTCCTAGCTCTGCAGGCTGTGGCCACAGCTTGTTTCTCTGCATCCTCTGGGCTCTCCCCATTGTCTCCACCAAGCACCAAGAATTGTGACCACATAAACCATAGATCTGTGGGCGCTGAAATGGAGAAGCAACTGCCGGGTGCTGTGTTCTGGCCACCTGGAAGCTAGAAAATAGTGGCCTCATGACACTTCAGGGCTTGGGGCCAAGGTCCACCTGAACACCTGGTGGGCAGTAGCACACTCCAGGACCCAGTGGAGTCCTCAGTCATCTCCTGATATGGAGAACTTCAAGCTAGAGCAGAAGAGATCCTGGAGAGCTCCAGTCAGCGTCTTTAAACATTCTGCCATAGGAAGTGTTGTTCAGGGTAGGCTCAGAAGGACAGAAGAGGCTCCTGGGAAGGCACTGCATCACGGTCAAACTTAGGAGCAATATTCTCCCCATCAAGCTGACCAGTACTGCAAGGTAGTGACCTCCCCATCCAGAAGCAAACAAGTAGACAATGACATCATGGGACATGGTCCAGCAGAGGTGAAGCGGGAGAGTCCATGACCCCAAAGGAGGCTTTATACCCTGGCTCTGCATTCAGAAAATGTGACCTGGCATGAGGGGCTAGGTGGCAGGTCCAGGCTGTTGGGGTGGATAGAATGGATGGTTGGTTCGTCCTGAAGCCAAGGTCCCTACCAGAGCCATTGAATTTGCAACTTGAGGTCCCGTATCACTTCTAGAACTCTAATTTTTTTTATTTTAAAAATAAAAGGAGGAAAACATTAATGGACAGACAAACTTTTACAAAATAGAGAAAGAGCAGTACAGACGGTACAGAGTTACAAACAAAGTGGTATGAAATTAACAATGCTTGTTGTATTACATATTGATATCTTCAAAGTGGTTTTTCACGAAAACAGATAGAGACATGCAATACTGATCAACCAAGGACTCATTAACAGTTTTTTTCAGCAAAGAAATAAATGACAATAGATCAACTATGTTAACTATCCTGTATATACATACATACAAAATTTCTCCTTCTTTCCCTTCATTTTTCCCACACCCCAGTTGCCCTTTACCCTTGAGCATTTTCCTATCATTTCACAATGTCTATCATACCTCCGAGTTTTTATTCACTCTTTCAGGTTCTTACACTAGTGAGAAAATACATTGCTTACACATGCAGGTCTGATTTATTTCACTTATGAGTATGGTCTCTAGTTGTGACCATTTACCTATAAAAGCCTCGAGTTTATCTTTCTTTATAGCTGAGTACTATTCCATTATATAAAAGTACCGCAATTTTCTTATCCAATCCTCGGTGGATGGACATTTGGGTTGCTTCCACATTTTAGCAATTACA